AACAACCTGGTTGATCAGACCCTGATCCATCATGAGGCCTGGTCTCAGACCGGGCCGCAGGGGCGTTGACCCCCGAAACCCTCTCCAAGTAAACGACACACTGTCGCCATAAAATTCTGCTCTTAATCTGTAGACAATGCGTCTCCTATCCACTAGCAGTCTTGCCAGAATACATAACATTTACCAAAGCAACGTTGTGCAGCCCTATGGCAGGGCGGAAGGAGAGCCCTGAATAGTTAGTCTTAAAACTTACTATGCCCCATTCAGAGGATTATTTAAATGCTAATGACGGGCTCTTCGTCCAAGGATCTTTGGATCAATAGCTCTTCATCATCAAAGCACCTCCTCTGAAGGAACCTACTGGCTAAACTAACCCTGTATGACGTACCTGACGAAGGTGCTCCCGTCCACTATCCTACTTCATCCATTCTGACGTCACTCATAATCAATAAACTCGTCTGAACGTCAATAAGGTTTCTAACTTTCTATAATAGATTCACGATTTCATTTTTAACATACCTCAGCTCTCCTTCTCCCAAGTCCGGTACAATTAATTGAATGTAATTCTTCTGGAGCGCAAACTAGTATACATCTTTGAGATGACCTTGCTGAGCACATCACCGTCAACACTTGACTTACACAGTCTTAAAATAAATGAAGGAGAGATCCTAATTCATGATGATTCAACGAAAGTGAGAGAGAGAGAGAGAGAGAGAGAGAGAGAGAGAGAGAGAGAGAGAGAGAGAGAGAGAGAGAGAGAGAGAGAGAGAGAGACAGTGTACTCACCTATATGCTGTTGCAGTGGTCGAGTCACAGCTCCTGGCCCCTACCCTTCGCTGGTCGCTGCTAGGTTCACTTTCTCCCGGTCTCAAGAGCCTTGTGCGTGTAAGTGTTATTCCTTTATTTCAGTTTTTTCTGTCAACTTCCATACATTACGAGACAGGCTGCAGTCCCTCCTCACACACATATATTACGAGACAGGCTGCAGTCCCTCCTCACACACATATATCACGAGACAGGCTGCAGTCCCTCCTCACACACATATATCACGAGACAGGCTGCAGTCCCTCCTCACACACATATATTACGAGACAGGCTGCAGTCCCTCCTCACACACATACAAAACAATTTAAGTAAAACGTACCACTCATCGTGTTAAACTAAATCATAATATTTTTTATAGTGATACTTTATTAGTTAACCTGTATATATTTTTATGTTCTTCTAATATTGTCCATTATACCATTAGAGAAAAAAAAATAAAAAAAATAATAAAAATCTAACTAAATTATCAGTACAATATAATCTTAGTTTAGTCCTATATGTTATGATTCTATGGGTCTTCAAATTGTTATTATTATGTCAGGTAATACTGTAATACTGAAATATAGATTAGTATTTGTATTTAACTAACATATGTAATAACAACCACGAAAATATAGAAATGGTTATAAGTATGACAATAATTTTTAAAGGGGTGGACCGGTAAGCCAGTGGAAGGCCTCGGGCAGATGGCCAAAAGCTCCAACGGTGGGTCATAAGACAATAAGAAGGAAGGAACACTGCAGCAGGCCTACTGGCCCATGCGAGGCAGGTCCAAGTCTCCTACCGGCTTAAGCCAATGCCCCAACCTAGTCAGGTCAGGTCACATTCATCATCTGACCAAAACCCGCATCAGGAAATAATTGTCCTGTTTCTTGACGAACCTTACCTAACCTAACCTAACAACCACGAACATTACAACAAATTGTTTTACAAAATAACAACATAAAAAATGTCTTACTCGTAAACAAAAAAGAGTTTGAAATAAAGTCAAAGACTGTATATCATTCTTGCACACCAACTTAATTATCCAGTAACTAAGTTAATTTTAAGGATGCCAGAAATACTCTGCACAACCAGGAGCTCTCTTTTAATATAACAGTAATGTCAACTACTGCTATGTCATTTGTATGATGTACTTGGTAGATATATAGATTATATTATTATTATTATTATTATTATTATTATTATTATTATTATTATTATTATTATTATTATTTATTATAATAATTATCATTATTATTATTATTATGGTAGGTAAGACACACATGCAACAGTTAGGCAACTTTATTTGGAAACGTTTCGCCTACACAGTAGGCTTCTTCAGTCGAATACAGAAAGAAGGCAGGAGCAGTAGAGATGTGAAGACGATGTAATCAGTCCATCACCCTTGAAGTCGTAGAATTTGAGGTTGTCAGTCCCTCAGCCTGTTGCATATGTGTCTTACCTACCAACCTGTCGGTATTGTATGCCATTTTGATGTTCATCTTGTCAGACACTGCAACACATGGCATCTTGGTACAGAAAACTCCTTGGACAACCTTTTCAAGTGAGAATTGTTGGATCTGAGAGGGACATGACCTCTCAGTGGCTACATTCTCACTACTACTACTACTACTACTCTGCACCTCTCCTTCCGACAGTATTTTAGTCTCCGCACTGTCGCTTCATCTTCAGATAGTTCCTGACTATGGAAATGAACTTCTCCAGGCTGAGGGACTGACAACCTCAAATTCTACGACTTCAAGGGTGATGGACTGATTACATCGTCTTCACATCTCTACTGTTCCTGCCTTCTTTCTATATGCGACTGAAGAAGCCTACTGTGTAGGCGAAACGTTTCGAAATAAAGTTGCCTAACTGTTGCATATGTGTCTTACCTACCAACCTGTCGGTATTGTATACCATTTTGATGTTCATCCTCACCGAGTAACAATCACCAGGGATACCTCTCCTTGTCACACAAAACCACCAGCAATCCCTCTTCTGGTCATACAGCCACCAGGGATCCCTCTCCTAGTCATACAGCCACCAGGGATCCCTCTTCTGGTCATGCAGCCACCAGGGATCCCTCTCCTGGTCATACAGCCACCAAGGACCCCTCTCCAGGTCATACAGCCACCCTGGATCCCTCACCTGGTCATACAGCCACCAGTGATCCCTCTTCTGGTCATACAGCCACCAAGGACCCCTCTCCAGGCCATACAGCCACCGGGGATCCCTCTCCTGGTCATACAGCCACCAGGGATCCCTCTCCTGGTCATACAGCCACCAGGGATCCCTCTTCTGGTCATACAGCCACCAGGGATCCCTCTCCTGGTCATACAGCCACCAAGGACCCCTCTCCAGGTCATACAGCCACCGGGGATCCCTCTCCTGGTCATACAGCCACCAGGGATCCCTCTCCTGGTCATACAGCCACCAAGGACCCCTCTCCAGGTCATACAGCCACCAGGGCCCCCTCTCCAGGTCATACAGCCACCAGGGATCCCTCTCCTGGTCATACAGCCACCAGGGATCCCTCTCATGGTCATACAACCACCAGGGATCCCTCTCCTGGTCATACAATCACCAGGGATTCCTCTCCTGGTCATACAACCACCAGGGATCCCACTCATGGTCATACAACCACCAGGGATCCCTCTCCTGGTCATACAACCACCAGGGATTCCTCTCCTGGTCATACAACCACCAGGGATCCCACTCATGGTCATACAGCCACCAGGGATCCCTCTCATGGTCATACAGCCACCAGGGATCCCTCTCCTAGTCATACAACCACCAGGGATTCCTCTCCTGGTCATACAGCTACCAGGGATTCCTCTCCTGGTCATACAACCACCAGGGATTCCTCTCCTGGTCATACAGCTACCAGAGATCCCTCTGGTCATACAGCCACCAGGGATCCCTCTCCTGATCATACAGCCACCAGGGATCCCTCTCCTGGTCATACAGCCACCAGGGATCCCTCTCCTGGTCATATAGCCACCAGGATCCCTCTCCTGGTCATACAGCCACCAGGGATTCCTCTCCTGGTCATACAGCCACCAAGGACCCCTCTCCAGGTCATACAGCCACCAGGGATCCCTCTCCTGGTCATACAGCCACCAGGGATCCCTCTGCTGATCATACAACCACCAGGGATCCCTCTCCTAGTCATACAGCCACCAGGCATCCCTCTCCTGTTCATACAACCACCAGGGATCCCTCTCCAAGTCATACAGCCACCAGGGACCCCTCTCCTGGTCATACAACCACCAGGGATCCCTCTCCTGGTCATACATCCAGTGAAGTTGTAAGGACAAGCTGCAGGTGGAAGCAGTGACATGACCGGAGGTTTACCTGGAGTTTACCTGGAGAGAGTTCCGGGGGTCAACGCCCTCGCGGCCTGGTCTGTGACCAAGCCTCATGGTGGATCAGAGCCTGATCAACCCGGCTGTTACTGCTGGCTGCACGCAATCCAACGTACGAGCCACAGCCCGGCTGGTCAGATACCGAGAGTGAGAGTGAGTCACGATGGAGGCAGTGAGTGACAGATGGAGGCGCTGGTGACACTTGAAGGCAGTGACAGATGAGGGCAATGGTGACAGAGGCAATGAGTGACAGGTGGACGCAGAGGTGACAGGCAATGAGTGACAAACAGACGCAGTGGTGACAGAGGCAATGAGTGACAGATGGACGCAGTGGTGACAGTTGGAGGCAGAGCAACATATGGAGGTAGTGATAGATGGAAGTAATGAGTAATAGATGGAGGCAGTGAGACAGGCAGAGTGGAGTGAAACATGAAGACAGTATGCCAGATAAAGACATGCTCATGTAAACTATACATTGTATACTACGCAGAGAAATAATTTTTTTTTATTTTGATTTTGAAGTGGAGGCAGTGACGGAGGAAGCAGCGAGTACATTATTATTATTACAATAATTATTATTACAATAATTATTATTACAACCAAATTCTGTAAATTCAACATTGTAATCTTTATAGAGAATAAACTTTGAAGCGCTAAACCTGTAGGATTGTACAGCGCTGTGGTGGGGGAATGGAAGGTATTCAGGCTTAATTCAAGGAACTGGAGCACAGATCCAGTTTCTTAGATCAAGAGCCCCTCACCAACATCAAGGAACCTTCCTTGAGTGGAGCAGCGAGTACAGATGGAGACAGGAGTGGCAGCTTGAGGCAGAGAAGTGGCAGGTGGTGAAGGCAGTGACATATGGAGGTACAGGAGTGGCAGGTGGAGGAAGTAGTGATATATGGACGCTGAGTGGCAGGTGGAGGAGGTAGAGAGACATGGAGGCAGTGAGTGACAAATGGAAGCAGAAGTGGCAGGTGGAGGCCGCTTGTGTAAGAGACGTCACAGGTTGACCATCAAGGCCTCTCAAGGTGAAAAGTCTCGAATCTGGTGAAGGACTCTTCAACCGAGGAATTGGAGCTACCCTCCTCTTACTTGTCTCAGACCTACTCACCTACCATTCCCCAGGCGATGTAAGGCCCAGGATTATAGAACTACCCCACGAATATGATAATAATTGTGGATTATAGTGGCGTGAGTGCCCGCCCCTGGACGGTGGTGCCACCAGCGGCCGCTGCCTCAACCACTCAGTTTGTGGTTTGTGGGAGGCTCGCGGAGGCTGACGTCACGGTGAAATCAATATATAAAGGAAGTCACGGTCGCTTACGATGTCAGAGTCACCTACGAAGAAGGGCAAGATGGCAACGTCGCTGGAGCAGCTGAAGGAGATGACGGTGGTTGTGGCAGACACCGGGGACTTTGAGTGTAAGTGTAGCTTCATCTTACCCCTCTCACCGGTGTCGCTGTGCCCTTATCTTAACCTTGGATAACACATCCCATATGTTAAATGAAACAACCAAGAATACAATTTTGTTAACGGTACCATGTTCAATATCGGAACGAATTCCTCGTTTTTTTTTCTTCCCTTGAATAAGCTTTTATTTAGGTTTCATACGTAAGTATAAAATTTTGCAGTGGTCTTAAGGGCACACAGGTGTTATGGGCATATATGTATACAGTATTATATTAAATAGATTTGACCGAGGATAAACCAGTAACGTCAAGCAGTGTGACTATTGTGGATTCTACTATAAGATGTGAGCAATAATAGGGTGACTTGATAGATTCCTTAGCTCACACAGGGGAGGCCTGGGGATCACTCCCCGACACGGGTGAAACGTTAAGATAAGATAATGTCCGTCATATATGATAAAATATATCTCAGTGAAGCACAGTTTACAATTTATTTAATTAAGGATAGTTGATATTATTGACATACTTTATAGAAAACCCATTGTTATGCAGAACATATGCCCTGGAGTATACCTGGAGAAGGTTTCGGGAGTCAACGCCCCCGCGGCCCGGTCTGTGACCAGGCTTTGTGGTGGATCAGGGCCCAATCAACCAGGCTATTACTGCTGGCCGAACGTAAACTGACGTACAAATCACAGCCCGACTGGTCAGATAATGACTTAGGTGCCTGTCCAGTGCCTTCTTGAAGACAGCCAGGGGCCTATTGCTAATCTCCCTTATGTATGCTGGGAGGCAGTTGAACAGTCTTGGGCCCCTGACACTTATTGTGTCAGTATTAAGTAAACTCTTCAAATTGTGTAAGAGGCTTAAGTATAACCTTAAAGGCACTCATAAATTTCACCTTGCCCAGGATTGAAGTTGGGCTCTCTTGGTTGTGAGCTGAGCACTTTACAGCTATGGCATAACAAATACCAACAGCCTGACTGGTTAGAGATTAGGCTGCAATTAGTGGACTGAGGATAGTCTGTGCCTTGTGCCAAATGACCCAAGAGTTTAGTGCTTTGTGATATAAAAATCAATGAATACCAGTGATATTAATGTTCCCAAGTCATCGATGGGTCAGAAGTCTGTCAGCAAAGGAGGACATTGTGCTGTGACTTACATCTGTCTACATCATATATAAGGATGAGGAAAAAGATGGGAGTGAGTACTGTATCATGTGGAACAGAGCTTTTCATTGTAGTTACCTTTGACTTTACAGTGGAACCCCGAATATCAGCCGTAATCTATTCCAGAAGGTCAGCCTAAATCCGAAAAGGTCTAAATTCAAAGCAATATTTCCCATAAGAATTAATGTAAATACAATTAATCCATTCCAGACACCCAAAAAATAATAAAAAAAGAATATATTTTGTAAAGTTTAACTCTAGTTTTACATACACAAAACAATGACAGTTACATATAAATGAACATTAAATCATTATTACATACGTATATTGAAGACTTGTTGGCATATGGAAGACAGGGGGGAGGGGAGAGGGAGGAAGATAGGTTATTGTTTGGAAGGGGAATCCCCCCTCCATAATGACTTAAGGTATGAAGTTCCTCTTTGGGGTTACTTCCCTTCTTTGTCTTTTAATGGCACTAGGACCAGCTTGAGTCACTGGACCCCTGTCGCACAAAAAAACTGTCCAGAGAGGTCTGTTTCTGGCACCTCTCTTAAGATTTGCCTGAAGTGGGCCAAGGTTTTGTCACTGAACATGTTGCAGATATGGCTTGTTTCAGCTTGATCAGGGTGATATTTCTCAGCAAAAGCTTACTCCCTACTCCATATTGCACAAATTTCCTTAATCTCTGAAGAAGGCACCTCCTTCCCTCTCTCTTCCTCCTCCTTTGAAACAAGTTCTTCAGGTGTGGTCTGTTGCTGTTCCAGTTGAAGGTTTTGCAGCTCTTCAGTGGTTTGCTCTTCCCTGTGGTTCTCCACCAACTCTTCCACATCCTCGCCACTCACATCCAGTCCCATGGATTTCCCCAAAGACACAATAGATTCCACAACAGGTGTAGGGTCCTCAGGATCAGCCTCAAACCCTTCAGAATCCTTCTCAAGGACACATTCTGGCCACAGTTTTCTCCAAGAAGTGTACACAGTCCTGGAAATCACTCCCTGCCAAGCCTTATCTATAAGGATTAGGAAGTTGTAGATATTGAAGTGATTCCTCCAGAACTTTCTTAGGGTCAGTTCAGTGTCTGAGGTGCTTTTATGTAGAGTTTTTTGAAGTTGGAAATGACCTGTTGGTCCATGGGCTGGATAAGAGGAGTGGTGTTAGGAGGCAAGAACTTCACTGTTATAAAACTGAAATTCCTAGACAATTGGTCTATCAAGTTTAGAAGATGAGAAGGAGCATTGTCCATTACCAGGAGGCACTTGAGTGGCAATTTACTTTCCTGGGGGTATTTTTTCACACTGGCCAAATGCTTCATGGACCCAGTCAATGAAAATTTGCATTGTGACCCATGCCTTATGATTAGCTTTCCACATCACACACAATTTACTCTTGATGACATTGTTTTTCTTGAACACTGGGATTTTCAGTGATACGCCAGTAAAGGCTTCACTTTGAAATCCCCACTAGTGTTAACACAGAACAAAAGAGTTAGCCTATCCTTCATAGGCTTGTGTCCTGGCAATGCCTTTTCCTCCTGCATGATGTAGGTCCTCTTTGGCATTTTCTTCTGAAAGAGGCCCGTCTCATCATAATTGAACACTTGTTGGAGATGGAATTCATCAGTTTCTATGTACCCCATGAATTCCTGCACAAATTTTTCAGTTGCATGTTTGTCTGAACTTGCAGCCTCACCATGCCTTACAACACTGTGTATGCCACTATGCTTCTTAAATCTGTCAAACCAGCCTCTGCTGGGCTTAAATTCACTAACATCAGCACTAGTTCCAGGCATTTTCTTTACGAGATCTGCCTTTTTACAAATGATCGTCTCTGAAACACTATCTCCTACTAACTGTTTTTCGCTGATCCACAACAACTACTTCACCACATCTTCCATTGTTTGTGATCTCTTTTTCATTAACATGTTTACCCCTTTTGCCACATCAGCTTCCTTTATTTGTTCTTTCTTTACCAGGATAGAAGCGAGTGTTGATTTGTTTTTGCCATACATCCTGGCAAGCTGGAGCACACGCCCACCACTCGTGTTTTTCTACAATTTCTCTCTTCAGTGTCATGTTTCCCACTTTCTTTACCAAAGGGCTGGCACTCTGAACTTTCTTTGGACCCATGGTGGCTTATTTCACAGTCACACTTAATAAACAAGTGCAAAACCAGTGGAGTTTAAGGAAATGTTTTGATGAATGCTCACTCACCGAGACACAGGGAGACTGACTAGCCTACACATGGCATCCCGGCGGGAGGCAGGTTGACACATCTAATATGGCCAATTTGCGAGGCACGGGCCAAAACATGGAGCAAAATTTCGGCCCAAAAACCAGCCTAAATATGATTTGGCTGATGCCCACAGAGGCCGATGTTCGGGGTTCCACTGTACTTTGTTTACTGTTACTCTGTGTTATATTTGTTAGGAAGTTATAGATCCATCCCCCCACTTTCCTGTTATTCCTTTATCACACATTTTGTGTGCTGTTATACCATGATTGTACTTGTTGAAGGCTTTTGCAAAGTCTGTGTATGCTATATCTGCATTTTGTCCTCCAGTGCATCCAAGACCATGTCATAGTAGTCCAGTAGTTACGAGAGGCAGGAGCGACCTGCTATAAACCCATGGTGCCATGGGTTTTGCAACTGATGGGTATCTAAGTGGGTGGCAATCTTTCTTCTTAGAACCATTTCAAAGACTTTTATAATGTGGGATGTTAGTTCTATCAGTCTGTAATTCTTTGCAGTTGCTTTACTGCCTCCTTTGTGGAGTGGGGCTATATCTGTTGCTTTTAGTGACTGTGGGATAACTCATTTGTTTATGCTCTCTCTCCATGGAAAACTTAAGGCATGTGAAAGGGGTTTCTTGCAGTTCTTGATGAGCACAGAGTTTGACGAGTTTACGCCTGGGGCAGCGTGCATGGGCATGTCATTTACTGATTTTTTTTCAAAGTTTTTTAAAGTCTGTTATAAAAAATTAATTTAGATTGTCAACCCTTAGTCTGATTAATGACTTACTAAATGCTGAGTTGTATTGGGACTTCAGTATCTCGCTCATCTTTGCTGTCATTTGTGTAAGTCCCATTTCGTTTAAGCAGAGGTCCGGTACTGGATGTGGTATTTGGCATAAGAAAAGAAATGTTTTTTTCAGTTTCAATTATGGCTTTAAGTTATTCCTTTGTTTCTTGTCTCCTGTTTGATTCTTTAAGCTAAAGTTCAATATTTTTTATTTCTCTGGCCAGTGCCTCCTTCCATATTTTAGATAGACTGGTGTCTCTGAGCAGCTCTGTGATTCTTCGCCTTCACCTGTAGAGGGAGCATCTCTTGCTAGTTTGCTTCTTCTCTTCTTTTTTCTTGGGGGAATGTGCCTTGAGCATACCTCAAGTGCCACAGTTAATTCTTTCTAGGCATAAGTTCAGATCTGTGTTGTTTAGAATATCTTCCCAGCTTGTTTCATTTAGGACATGGTTAATTTGATCCCACTGTATGTTTCTGTTATTGAAGTTGAATTTGGTGAAGGCACCCTCATAACTGATCTCATTTTGCTGGTCTGTGCTTCGATTATGTTGTGATCTGAGTGTTTGTCTTCGATACTGTTATATTTCATACCAGATCATCATTATTGAAGATAAGGTCAAGTGTATTTTCCAGTCTTGTTGGCTTCACTATTTGCTGGCTTAAGGTGAATTTGTTGCATAGTCTTAATAGCTCTTGTGTTTGTGAGTTTCCATCTGAGCTGCCTCCTGGGGTTATCTCAATGCTTAAACATTTACCACATTCCTCCATTTTAGGTGTCTTAAGTTGAAAAAACCCAGCAACAAGATATTTGGGGCTGGGGTTGGA